GCGATGAGGGGTTCAGAGTGCGGGATTGGGCTCAGGGCTGTGGCAGGGGGTTTGGGGTATGGGCTCCAGACATCACTCACCTCAGGCGTTTCCCGGGGACAGAGGAAGTCCACACAGCTCCCGGGAAGCAGTGGCATGTCTCTCCAGCTCCTAGGCAGAGGGGCAGCCAGGGGGCTCTGTGTGCTGCCCCTGCCCGCAGGTGCTGCCCCCACAGCTCCCATTGGCTGTGGTTCCCCTGGCTGTCCCGCCGCCTAAGAGCTGGAGGGACATGCTGCTGCTTCCCAGGAGCTGTGTGGAGCCAGACTCGTAGCCTGCCTTAGCCCCGTGCAGCCAACCAGACTTTAAGAGGCCCAGTCAGGGGTGCTCATCGGAGCTGCCAGGGTCCCTTTTCGACCAGGCGCTCCAATCGAAAACCGGATGCCCCCTCCCTTGATTTATTAAATACAAAAGTAGGATTTAAGTGGTTCCAAGTAACAGCTGACAGAACAAAGCGAATTACCAAGCAAAATTAAAATAAAACACGCAAGTCTAAACCTAATACAGTAAGAAAACTGAATAGAGATAAAACCTCACCCTCAGAGGAGTTCCAATAAGCTTCCTTTTACAGACTAGTCTCCTTCTAGTCTGGGTCCAGCAATCACTCACACCCCTCTGGTTACTGTCCTTTGTTCCAGTTTCTTTCAGGTATCAGACTCTCCACCTCCAAATATCTCTTGAGCCAGCTGAAGACAAAATGGAGGGGTCTCCCAGAGGTTTAAATAGACTTTCTCATGTGGGTGGTCCCCCTCCCTTCCCCTGTGTAGAATCCAGCTACAAGATGGAGTTTTGGAGTCACATGGGCAAGTCACATGTCCATGCATGACTCAGAACTTACAGGTAGCAGCCATTGTTCACATGCTACCTTGAACGTCCTCAGGTAGACTTCTTATGTGGATTGGAGCCTTTTAAGATCCATTGTCCGTTAAGTGTTTCTTGATTGGGCACTTAACCTGCACATTCCTTTCTAAAGAAGCTGCCCAAATGCCCAGTTATGTCATATTTACATTCATAAGCATCTTTCCACAAAGCGTTATGGGGTGGGTGCAACGTCACAGTGGGCCTCTAAGGCCTGTCATTTTAGACAAGCAGCCACGAAGCCCCAGCCTGGTTTCTGGAGCCATCTGTGTCCCAGTGTCGCTGGTCCAGTCGCTTGCAGTATCTCTTCAGAGATGATGCTCATGCCGCGGCTCCCCACCCAGGGCTCCTTGCCTTCATTTCCCCCTGCTTTAGATCCCCAAGGAGGAATCCGTCCTTCGTGCGTGGATTCAGCCACCCCGTGGAGTGACCCCACTCCTTGGAAGCAAACTCAGGGCTCCAGTGGGGCAGTGCAGAGCGTCAACTGCTGAGCCAGGCAGCTTCTTACTTATTCATCCAGACTCTGTAGACCGTGGGGATCAGGGAAGGAAAGGCAGCCGCCGGCAGGGGAAATCTCTGTTCCGGCTCCCTCTGTTATAGGAACTTCCTTGCAACAGATTCATTCACATGATCTACAGAACTAGCCCACCACACACACGAGCTCCCCTGCTGCACGCTCCAGGAGGGACTGGTGGGAGCCGGAGCTGGTGTCCGTTTCACATTGGTCTTTGTTCCCTTAGAGACAGTGGTGCCTATTTCCCCCAATCAGGTCTGACTCAGGCCTTCATGATCAGAAAAGCAAGCAGCTGCCAGGAAGACCAGGGGGCTGCCAGATTTAACCCCCACCCCCCTCCAACTCCCCAGAAGTGGGGGTGGGTGGGTGAGGCGGTCTCATAGCCTGCCCTCTCCTCCCCTCCGCGCTGGCCAGTCAGCAGCCTCCCAGATTGACAGGCCGGCTCTGCTCCTCATGTAACTCAGAAAAACAGCGCTTCTGTCCTCGAGTCGATCCCTCCTGGCGCTGACTCAGTGCTTTCCCACCACAAGATCAACAGGGCTCTGGTGCGGGCGAACGTGCAGGATGGCGAGCGGAACTGACGCGCTGCTTAAAAGGCGCTTTATCCTGGCTTTTTGCCTGGATCATCAAAGCTAAAAATAACAGCGGGGCCGGGTGAGCGGGTTGGGGCACGCCTGCTGCTCCCAGCCCACAGAGAGATAAACAGCTGCCTGAAGAGGGCACCTAGAGGGCTGGGCCATCTCCCCTCATGCTGTCGGTGCCAGTCGCTGCTTCAACAGGCCCGTCTGCTGCCCCCTAGGGGTGGGAATTAATTGCACCTCTGTGTCTTGGGCACACGTGGATCAGCATTTTGTCGTCCTTGTGGTTCAGGATTCGGATCCAGGGGTCCAGTTCGGCCCATTAGAGAGATTGGGGGGGCGGGGGGGAACCAGCCAAGTTTGGGGCGGATTGGGCTCAGCTTTTGAACACCTCATGGTTCAGGGGTGGGTGGGGTGTCCGATTCAAGGGTTTGGTTCGACCCATGACACAGAAGGGAGCATTTGTGAAATTTGGAGCCAGCTTCATGATTCTGGCCCTGCCCAGGAGCTCACGGGCGTCTGGATTTGGGTTTGGGCCTGGGGCTTTCTCCACCCTCAGTGGGCATGGTGGGTCACCTTGAGGAGATCCCTAGACAGCTGCATCTTCCCCCCCACATTTACCTGGCCTCCTCCCTGCACGCACGTGTCATCTCCGTTGCTCTGGCGATGGTGACGTTCTCATTCTCATGGCAACGCGTGGCAGCTGCAACCCCAGCAGCAGGAGCTGGTGCAGGGGATGAGTCTAACTGGTCCCCTGTCTGGCAGTGGTTCAAGGAGGGCAGCTGGATGGTGGCCTTGGCGGGAGGCATGATCAGCAGCGTGGCTGTGGCTGTGGCGATGACGCCCTTCGATGTGGTCAGCACCAGGCTCTATAACCAGCCCGTGGATGAGCGGGGCATGGTAAGTATGTCCCGCAGCTGGGAGGCCAGATCCCCGTTTACTGATGGCAGGGCTGTATAGGCAGGCTGCAGAAGAACTGGGCTTGGATCCCAGAGGTTCCTGGCTTGCCTCCCTGTGCTCAGTCCACTAGGCCGTGCTACCTGGAGCATCGTCATGTGCACCAGTCTACTGAACGCACCCAACTTCACAGCATTTAAAAGCAAAATCCGCACCATGCTGCTCAAGGCCAGGCACAGGCAGCCAGCCCCGGACTAAACCAACCCCACCCACCTCCGAGCCGCTATGTGCCAGCCCCACGGCGAGTGACCAGCTGAGCCGTGCACCCTCCTGAGCCCGGCTGGACTAATGGGGCAGTGAATCCCAGAATGGTGGGGCCTCCTTGGAGATCACCCTGCTGACAGCTCCCCAGGCTTCCAGTGCAGGGCTGCTCATTTGAGCATCTCTGCTCAGCTGACCTTTGCTGAGGTGGGGCCTGGCTGCTGGGAGACCCAACCCATAGAAGGGCTCCACAGATCAGAGTCGACAGGTTTCCACCCAGACGCCGGTGGAGAACAGGTGGGAAAGCCCCTGAAGCTGGCTGCACCCAGGTTCGGCCCTATCTGAGGAGCGTGTGTCCGTGTATGTGGCAAGAGTCCAGCTGAGAGCTCACAAGGACGTGAGAACCCTCGCGAGGGCCAGATACAGGGTGAACGGTTCCCACTGGAGGTGGAGGAGACCTGGTGGCATTTGGCCCCGTCTTGTCCACAAAAGTGCAACATCTCGCAGGTTTTCATTTGAAAAGAAAGGACCCAGATTCTGCCCTCAGTTACTCTGGTGCAGGGGCTGGTCAATCTCACTTTGCGGTAACTGGCAACCCAGTCTGGCTCGTTAATGGCTCTGTTATTGAACCGTGATTTTCAATACTTTACCTGTTTCAATCCAAAACCCACCCTTTTGTGAAAAAGGTGCGTCAAACTGCCCTGGTGGCTCCAGAGCGTGAGTGCCAACCTCAGGGCAGACTGCTAAGAACCAGGGCACAAATCCCAAACTGGCTGTGAGTCCTATACCAAGCGTCAACTGCTCAGACCCTATAACAGCCTTACCGTGGAGTCAGACAGTCCCCTTGGGTACGCCGATCTATCTTGCCACCCAAGTAAGCCTGCCTTTGTGAGAGATGGTCCCTTATACCAAAAATCACAAGATTCAGGTTATTCCCAGTCCCAAAGGACCAGTCCTCTTACTCCAGGTCAGTTGCACCTTAGATCTCATACCAAAGCCAACACTTGGAGGCAATCCTGTCATAAACGATCTGAGGATTTACTAACTAGGAAAAGGAAATAGGAGAGTTCCTTACAGGGTTAAAGGTGGTAAACAGACACATACAAATGAGTTATAGTCTTAAGTTTCAAAAGGTAAGAGAAGCGTCTATAATAAGCAGCCTCTATGTGTCCTTTAGGGCTCACCCATGGCGAACACTGGGCATCTTTTGCTTATACTTAGAATTCCTTGCGCTTTAGAGTCCAAGCAGCATAAAAGACACAAGTTCCTCCTTGCTAGGGCTTTTTATCCCTTCCCCGCTTCTGCTTCAAGTTGCACGTTCAGCTGCTGGAAGGAATTCAGTTACAAGTCTCCTCCTCGTGGGGGGGGAAGGGGAGCAATTGACCAAGTCTTTTGTCCTCTGATGTTCCACAGTGCTTTGCCTGGCGTTGATGGGCCTCTTTGGTTGGGTCGGAGCCAACACCTGTTGGAAACTAGTATTTCACATTTGTTAATGCTTCTCTCCTGCCTGATGACTTACAGTCCCACAGCAAATGTTCTAACCGGGGCTACAGATATTGTGAGATGAATGCAGGCAACTACTTACAAGCATTTCATAAACTCTAAAAACATTTCTCTAACTCTAATACCTATTTTAACAATACTGGCACACAGAGGAACCAGACTGGTATGTGTTTGTCACTGTCCCGGTGAGACCTAGGGGCCGTGCGCTGCAAGCGTCACAAGCTGTAATTTGGGAGTGGGGAGGCGGGGGGACTACAAAATAGAACTGCTTGTGCCTCAGTTTTTCCATCAGTAAAATGGGGCTAAGTAGTGTTGGCTTCCCCCAAACAGACTAGTGTGAGGACTAATTAACCACTGTCTGCAGCACTTGGATAAGGGGCTCAGAGCATTGTGAATTATTCTGTTTATTGAGCTCTTGGGGGAGGGAGGGAGTTTTCAGTAGCACTCAGCACTAACGTGCGCAGCTCTTCTGAAAATCTGGCCTGGCTTGGATGTTAAAGCCGGAGAAAAGCAGGCGTGGGGAGGCAGGGTTACCTCTGTATACACCATTCGACCATCCCTGGAGCCTCTGGCTGGTTCTGGTGTCCACACATCGAAAAGGATGTTGACAAATTGCCGAGGATCAGAAAGATGTCACAGGAATGCTCTGACGTCTGGGAAACTAGTGAGAGAGTAGCTCTGGCGGTTTCATTTCACGAGAGAAGGTGAAGAGGTGACTGGATCGCAGTCCGCGTGACTACGTGGGGAAGGGAGTTCTGGTAGTAGGTGGCTCTTTGAATCTAGCAGAAAAAGACAATGAGATCCAGTGGCTGGAAGCTGAAGCTAGACTAGAAATAAGGTGCTTGTTACTAACAGGGAGGAATTAATCCTTGGGAGTGGTGGAGTCTCCAGCACTCGGAGTCAGTCACTCAGGACTGGATGTCTTTCTAAATATGTATGTATATAGCGATATACCTATCTCATAGAGCTGGAAGGGACCCTGAAAGGTCATCGAGTCCAGCCCCGTGCCTTCACTAGCAGGACCAAGTACTGATTTTGCCCTAGATCCCTAGGTGGCCCCCTCAAGGATTGAACTCACAACCCTGGGTTTAGCAGGCCAATGCTCAAACCACTGAGCTATCCCTCCCCCAAATGAGAGGCTGTAGCTCAGCCAGAAGTTATGAGCTTGCTGTAGCAATTCCTGGCTGAGGTTCTCTGGCCCGTCCCAGCCGGGAGGCCTGACTAGATGGTCATTGTGGTCCTTGCTGGCCTTACAATCAGTGAGTTACCATAGCATGTTGACCAGACCCATGTATATTAAATGTGAGCGGAGGCCTGTGTGTGCTGGGGCAGGTTTTTGATGCCTCTCCGTCTCTCCTGTCCCCAGGGGAAGCACTACCGAGGGTTCCTCGACTGCTTTGTGCAGATCTCCAGGAAAGAGGGCATCCTGGCTCTGTACAAAGGGATCGGTCCTGCCTACCTCCGCCTGGGGCCTCACACCATCCTCAGCCTGCTCTTCTGGGACGAACTCAGGAAGCTCACTTACCACCACCAGCAGCATGGCGTTTAAGCCCCTGGGGCTACGTGGGCAGATCCTGCCACAAGATCACCTGCGCGTGGCCTCGGGGGTCTCTCCGCCCGCCTGATGGGACCAGAAGTGGGGGACGGGGGGATACGGCAGTCTAGGAGCCCAGGCAGTCAGCTCAGAACTTTCAGGGGGTGCTGAAATCCCCCAGATTTGTAGGGTTTCAGGAGAGAGGAGCTCTGTGTCCAACTCCACTGCCTACAATAGGCTCCCACCTGCAGCCACCGCGCAGAGCAAGAGCGGGCTTCCATCCAGGAGCGCTGGCCAGCTGCTGTGGAGCGAGAGGGAGCCGTCCTCTGTCCGTGTGCCTGGGAGCCAGGAGGTCTGCGTTCTGATCCCAGCTCTGACACTGACTCCCTTCTGGGGCCTCGGGCAAGCCCATCGCCCCGCCCTGTGCCTCAGTTTCCCCATCTGTGACATGGGGATCTTCCTAGGTGCCTCCTCAGAGGGCAGTTGTGAGGATTAAACGACCTGACGTTTTGCAGAGTGCTTTGATGCTGTAAAGAGGTGGGTAGATACATGTGCCAGGTGGATTCTTGCCAGGTAAACGTGGCCTTAGAAGGACTGAAGGGACCTAGTGCCGTTCCTAAGCGTTGTTCAAGGAGGTGCTCCCCGGTGCAGGCCTTGGCCTTCTTCCCTGAGTAAATCGCATTTAACCCCTTGTACCAGGAGCTGCGGCAGGGAAGGGTGGACTGTTACGTCCTACAGAGCACCTACCTGGCAGCGCCGAGTCCCAGCATGGTGCCAGCCTGGGTTGCCCTGGCACTGTGCCCATCCCTGGCTTGCGAGAAGTTCCAGGCGCTCAGACACCAGGCACAGCACAGGAACCAAGATCAGCCAGAAGCAAAGTGGTGAGAGGCTGCCCCCCGATGAGGCCGTGGAGCCCCCCAGCCGTGGGGCAAGGCAGGGAGGCAGGCCTGGGTTTCACGGTGAATTTGATTTGCTTGTTTGGGGTTAACTTTTGGCCCTTGCTTCCCCTGCCCTTGTAAGGCAGGGCCCCCCCACATCACCACCTCCCCCCAGCCCTGCTCAGTCAGATTGCAGGGACGAGTTCAGCTCTGCTCAGCCCGGCTGCACCCGCAGGTGCAGGCTGTGCTCGGTGTTCCCAGGTCCTTGCACGCAGCCGGGGGCATGTGCCGGGGGGGGACGCTGTGCCACTGGCGGGGTCACTGGGACCTGCTCCTGCCCTCCCAGGAGGCAAGCAGGAGAACATCTTCCTGAGCAAGGGGGACGTCTAAGTCCTGGGCTCTGACAATTTGGGCCTGCCACATCTCTAAGCCTTAATCTCACCCTGCCCTAGTGCCCGGCACGCGCTGGGTGCTACTAAACCAGTGCTGCCCGCTCTGTGCAGGGGTCACCAGCTCCCAGCACAGCGTTCACTTCTACTCAACAGAGGCTGGAACCACAGCCCCAGCTTCGGGCCGCTTGCCGCAATCAAATAAAAGATTTTTTTCTACTTTCTTATTTTTACATCTCTCCAGTGGGTTTTAATTTTGCTGCTGAACCAGGTGCCTTTCCCTCTTCCCTGTGCCAGCCACCTGCTTCTGGGAGTACGGTGCCCAAATCACACCCGCATCACACCCATCTCAGTGTGTTGCCAGTGAACACAGCTGGGGGGAGATTTGGGGACGGGCCTCCTGGCTGGGAATTTCAGGCACCAGCAAGTTTGAAGCGATGCAGGGGCATCTCTGGTTTTGCCAAGGGAACATGGCAGCAGTGGGCTCTCCCTGTACCCTCACACCCGGAAAAGGAGATGAGATCGCTGCAGCGTAAGGAGCTGGAAGCTCTCGTGACAGATTTCGATTCCCCCCACCCTTGGGCCAGCACCACCAAAAAAAACCCCATCCCCACACCACGGCGCCAACCGCCCCTGGCTCAAACCGCGCCCCCCAGATGACAGTGCCAACCGCCCCCCTCCCTAGACGATACCCACCTCCAAGATACCAGGGCTGTCCTTGCACTAGGCCTTCAGAGGGGCACTAGGATGGGGTGCAGACTGGGAGATGAGCTTTTGAGAATCTGGCCCTTAGCAGAGTCAACTTTAACAATCACGCCGAGACTTGCTCTGAGCAGGGGGAGCCGAGGGGCCGGTAAACTGCTGTCAGCCCGTGGGTCCTGCCTGCACGGCTTCCCCGGCCATTGTCGCTGCCCAGGGTGGGGCAACTGTGCTCCCCATGAACACAGTCTGGCTTTTTGTCCCCCTTTAGTGGCTAGACTTGTGCCTAGAGATTTATGGGGGTGCTACTCAGGCAGTAAAGCTGTAGGCGTTAGCTCGGGAGGTCCCAGGCTCAACCCCCGCTGGCAAGGCACAGCCACGGGAGATTGTTAGAAATACGCCGGTGCGTACCAGGCTTAAAGACTGCACCGGCCCTAGAGAACTGAGCAGCACTGCAGGGCCCTGCGGTGCAGTGTTGACTGTTAGCCATGCAGGTTTGGGGACGCTTTCGCTCCACCCCCATACTTGCCCTGTATGGGAGCAGCAGGCACCCGGCCCCGTGGCCTGAGGGCACACCCTGCTCATTCTGGCTCCTGCGTCGGCACCTGGAACGGGGATTCTGCAACTGGAATTAGTGATCAGGTCCCCTGCATGAGCCAGACTTGAACCCGGCTCCCCCGGTGCCGGGATAAACAGCAGGAATGACAAGTATCAGGGGGTAGCCGTGTTAGTCTGTATCCACCAAAACAACAAGGAGTCCGGTGGCACCTTAAAGACTAACCGACTTATTTGGGCAAAAGCTTTTGTGGGTAAAAACCTCACTTCTCCAAAGCTTTCGTGGGTAACCTCACTTCTCCAAAGCTTTCGTGGGTAACCTCACTTCTCCAAATAAATCGGTTAATCTTTAAGGTGCCACTGGACTCCTTATTGTTTTAGCCGTAATGCCGTATCTCTGGCCCTTGCTGTCCAGGGAGCCAGGCCACAGTGTAAGAAGGGCCCCTAGCTGACTGTCGGTGTATTTTGTGGGGGGAAAGGAGGTGATCAACTCCAGAGGGGTGCTCCAGGGGAAAGCGCAAAGAAAAACCAGTGCAACGAACCGGGCCCATCAGAGCAAGGCCAGGCACTGAGCCCCTTGCTGGGGACGTGGAAGGGCAGAGCCCTGACTTTGGCGTGTGAACAGGGCAGTGCCATGCAGACAGCACGGGAGTGCAAGGCCAGAGAGCAGGAGAACTGGGCGGGGAGCAGCCATCTGGGGGGCACGGAGATCGGTGCTGGTAACATGGTGCCTGCCAGGGGCCGCTTAAGATGCTCTGACTGCCGCCCACCCCTTTAGAAATTTGCAGTGGAGCCCCGGCACCTCCCCCGCTGCCGCTACCACCGCCCCCAGACCTGGCGCTGCTGGGTTGGAGGCTGTCGGGACAGACCCCGGCCTGGGGCTGCAGCGGCCACTGTGCCCCAGTGACAGATGCCGGGATGACCTGGGCCAGGCCAGGAGGAAAGACCCCCTCGGCCTTAGCCGTAGGCCCTGCAAGCCACTGAGCCCTGCCCTCTGGGTAGGCAATACCCTCACCCAGGGCTGCCCTGCCCAACGGCCCTTTCCAGGCACGTCCAGCTGCCCAGGACCCAAGAGGGAGCGAGCTCGGGCAGCAGCAGCTCCTCCCCGTGGAGCGGCTCAGCTCGACCACAAGGAGCCCAATGTCCCCGCAGGAGGCAGCTCCCAGCCCATAGGTGCCAGTTAACGGGGAGCACGTCCCCCTCCTTCCCCCGGCCCCACACAACGCCACCAGGACTGGGCACACTGACCTTCCTTACGCAGGGAGTGGGGTCTGGGGGGGTCCCGACACCTCAGGCCCAGCACTGCCAGTGCCCCACACTCTGCCCCCCAGCTTGGGCCCCGCCTGTTCCAGGTGAGCACCTCGCTGTCTGGTTCGTAGCCAGGAAGGGGTGGCAGCGCCCCCAGAGCCCAGACACCATGGCGTTGAAGCAGCAGCTGGGGTGCCCGTGGGGGCTGGGCACTGACATGGAGCCAGGTGGAGACCCAGCCGCGCTCATGGTGCTGGCAGAAGTAGCCCTGAGCTGCTCAGCGCCTGAGCCCCGGCCTCACCTGTGCTGGGGGCGGGGAGCACCCGGGGAAGGGGCAGGGGGCCGCTTCCAGCTCCTCAGAGCCCCAGCTGGCAGCTGCCCCCGCCCTCAGGCAGCCCCACCAGCTTCATCCCTTGCACCAAGGTGCCGCCCTAGGCACCTGCTAGTCGGCCTCTGGTGCCCGTGCCAGGCTGCACGTGCAGCCGGCCAATGCCAGTACTGGCAGCAGGGCAGACGCTGCCAGGCATTTGTAACCCGCTGGGGAGTGTGTTACGGGCCCCTCGGGGCGGACCCACGGGGGGAGGCATCTCTCACAGCCCCCAGCTGTGGCTCAGGCTGTAGACGCTTGTGCTTTCAGCTCTGGAGATCCCTAGTTCAATCCCAGGCACGTCAGCCATAGTGTGTTCACGCAGGGCTGCGATCCCAGCCCTGGGCACCAGGCACTAAACCGGTTCCTGGCCCTGCGTCCAGGCCTAGCTCACCTGGGTCCCTGTGGACTCCTGCTGCCACCTACTGGGGCCATGCAGGAAATGTGACCTATTATACTTCATTGGCCTCATGCCTGTGCCCCTGGAGCAAAGGGCATACAGCTCTGCGGAGAGGGGCATGGCCCATAGAATCACCCCCTGGTGCCCTGCCCTGATGCCACCAGCGAGTGGCACAGAAACTCTGCAATATACAGACCCCCTCCCCCCCCAATTCAGTGCTGGGTTTCCCCTCTGAAAGGGGTTGCTGCTCTAGCCAGTTCCTCTGAAAGTTGGGGTGTGGGGGAGCACTCCGAAAAGGCCAGGACCGTCACTGATTGGCCTCCAGCTGGTAGGGGGGGCTGGGCTAGAGGTGCTTAAAATGATGATGCTTTAGGTGGCTGCTTATGTGGCCAACACCTATATCAAGCCATGAATAGCCCCATCCACTCCCTGCCCCTTCTGTCAAGCACCCAGCTTGTCCCTTCTAACTCCCCCACCCCATCCCTCCAAATTTATCCCCCCGCACCAGCAGAAAGTCTTGCAGGACAGACTCCCCTCAAAGCATCCCAGGGACAGCTGGGCTGTAAGGCCATGGATGTGGGCTGGAGCAGACCCACCCAGCGCCAAGAATCACTCACACAAACAATTTACCCTCCTGCCCCAAACAGCGCCATGTGCCCTAAGGGATGGGGGCCACTATCCGAGCTGTAGGAACCTGGCCAGGTCCCAAAGAGGTGACACCTGGCCTCTAGATGCTCTCGAGGGTTTGCAGGCAGGGCTGCAGCTCCGAGCATTGGGGAGGGTTTCCAATAGCAGGGAGCGAGGTGGGGCAGATTTGGGCTCGTGCCCCCAAAAGTGCCCTGCTCTCCTAAAAACCCAGCTGACCATGATTTGAAGCATGTTCCACTCACGTGCTCTACGATTAGGCTCAGCCAGCAATGAGCCCTGCACGGTGCATGGGTGTTGGCATTGACCCACACAGAGCTAATCACAGGAGCGGGGCCTTCAGATTGCAGCTCTGAAGGGGTTAAAGTATCAGGGCATCCCAGTAATCACTGATTACTTTAACCAACCACTAAGTCCCTTTCCCTCAGTGTCTGGCCACACTGCTCGAAAAAAAAGGGGGGTTAATTCAAACACCCAAATGCCATTGGGATGAGAAACCAACTGAGAAATGTTATATTGGACCATTCACACCTTCTGCCCTGTGGCAGGGATGTGTAAACGGAGGGTGGTTCTTTGCCATCATCTTCTCCACATAGATCCCACCTGGCTCGGCAGAAATACCCAGACAGAAGAGAGCGGAGGAAAGGGGGTGAGCGGGACAGAGATCAGCTTTTCCTCTAGTTTCTCTCCCATGTATCGGCTCCCGCCCCTACGCTTACATTGATTAACTACACACATGGGGGGCGGGGTCAGGCTTAAAATCACTTTAAGAAAAGAACCAGTTTTTCCCCCCTAGGTGAGCACCAAAACCTGAGCTGATACAACCCAAAAGGGTTTTTTTAAAACTGGTACTTTGCCACGTTTTGGCTGTTTCTGTTTCATGCTCGGAGAAGCGGGGGTGGGTCAGTTTTCATGCACTACTAACAATATCAAGGACACAAGGAGAGTTTGAATCAGAGGGTCTGGAAGCACTTTAGAAAGGAGGGTGAGCAGCATTTGCTGCATTTTACACATGGGGAAACTGAGGCACAAGCAGCAAAAGAACTTGCCCATATCCCAGGCTTTGAGTTGGTAGCAGAACCAAGCACGGAACCCAGCTTCTCCCCTCCATGTTGCTACCGGGCCTGGCTGCCTTAGGCTAGCAAAGCATTGCAGTGTTTGGGTTGTGAAATGGGCAGGGCGAATGCTTGGTGCTGAACAGAAATCTGTTCCTTGGCTGTGAATGGGGCGACGACTGGAACGATTTCTTTAGCCCAGCCGCAGAACGAATTTGCCTGGCTGGGTCCCTTTAACGCAGGAATTCCAGGCAACCTTGTGAAGAGCCCTTCCCACTCCCCCAGCCCTCTCTGGCCAACTGATTGCAGGCGGCAGGGCACATGGAGAATGATTCACCAGCACTCTAGCTCCCTCCTGGTGCCTCTTATCAAACGCCTCTCTGCAGACCTTTGAGACTGACATCAGCCCCGCTCCCCACACCTGGTTCCAAGCCCGCTCAGAGCTGGTGGGAAATGTTCTCCTTTGAGTTCTTGGCCTCCTGGCTCCCTGGCTTCCCCAGCTTGGCCTGGGGTTCCACCCTGCTGGACTCTCTCTTGCAAGGTGAGGTTAGAGCCCTTTACTAGCTTCCCTCTCTGGTCTCCTTGGCTTCCCCAGGACCCACCTGGCTCTTTTCTCCCCTGCAGGGCTAATAGGAGCTTGTGCCGTGTCCGTGCTCTGCAGCCTGGTGAAGATTTATCTCTACATCCAGTGTCTGAAGTAAGTGGGGGAGGAATCGCTCGTCCCAACAAAAATGATTCCCTGAGCAGCTTTGATTTCCTCCAAGCCCTTTCTCCCTGCCCCCGGGTCCCACCGCCCTGCGGGTTCAGTTGAGACGGGCACGCCAGCTGCATGAGTGGAGAAGAATGGACTCTGACACCTGGCATTAAAATCCAGGCGGGTCGCAGCTTACCCCTGCAGCGGGACCATACCGGGCTGTCTGGAATGGGGTTCTGTCCCCTGCTGGGTTCCTGCCAGTCCC